ATTGATGCAATAGTTATAGAAGGAAAGTAATATTATATTTTTAGCTGAAATGCATAAATATTCTATTTTTTTTTAAATTGACATTTATATCATTCAATAGAACAACATTTCAGCTATAGATGCAGAAATTTCATGGTTATATTATTCTGTAAATAAACAAAATATTTTGGATCGAAACTCTCGACATTGTTTAAATTGTTGTGTATAAAAATTTATAGTTACAAGCATACATATAATTAATCAGCTTTGCTCATCAGCTCTTCTTTTAATTTATGTTATTACCCAGCAAACGAGAATAGATTGAAATGAATTGAAAAGAGAATTCAGATTTTCAGAAATATTGATTCATGAATGTTAAAATGAATGCTTTTTAATTCTGAATGCATTTTTATTCATTTATAGAAATTGCATATCTTTATGCCTTTCAATCTAAAAATAATATTAGCTTTTTCTGTGCATACAAAAACAATTGTGAATATTGTTCAATTCAAAATTTTGAATAGGAAATGCAGTTTTTCAATCCAATTGCATTCAATTGAATATAATTGAATCCAATTGAATCCAGAAAATATTCGCTATTTAAAATACGCATTCGGACAGAAAAAAATTTCAATCCATTTTAATCTATTCTCGTTTGCTGAGTATTATATATTGTTTCCTTATTTTATTAGGTGTACAACTTTGCTTCCGTTTTCCTATAGATGGCTTTAGTAAGTGGTGGTCGAAATAAATAGATCATAGACGTCATACAATAAACTTGGGCATCTGTCAACATAACCCCATAGAAACATTAATCGATTTGTGTCTGCATCATAAAGTTATTCTCGATTGAAAATGTCAGTTTACGAACCAAATTCTCGTCATTTGCGGGAGGTTTTAATTTTTTGCTTCAATATGAAGAAATCTGCGGCTGAGGCTCATCGAATGCTCTCAAATACTTATGGTGAGGCCGCTATTAATGAAAGAACGTCGTGAGTGGTTTCAACGCTTCAAGAACGATGATTTTGACGTCCAAGGTCATGCTCTGTATTTGGTGGGACCAGCTCGGCGTAGAGTATTATGAACTGTTAAAATCGACTGAAATAATTACAGGCGATCGATATCGAACGCAATTGATGCATTTGAACCGAGCATTGAAAGAACAAACGGCCGCAATACAACGAGAGACACGATAAAGTGATTTTGCAGCATGACAATGCTCGACCCCATGTTGCGAAAGTGGTCAAGACATACTTGGAAACGTTGAAATGGGAAGTCCTACCCCACCCGCCGTATTCTCCAGACGTTGCTCCCTCTGATTATCACTTGTTTCGATCAATGGCACACGGCCTGGCTTCCGGTCTTATGAAGAAGTAAAAAATTGGATCGATTCGTGGATAGCCTCAAAAGATCAGTTTTTTCGACGCGGGATTCGTACGCTACCCGAAAGATGGGAGAAAGTAGTGGCCAGCGATAGACAATACTTTGAATCACAAATGTATAACCAGTTTTTTACAATAAAGCCTCGAATTTCGGAAAAAAAATGGCGGAAGCAAAGTTGTACACCTAATATTAAACACCTGATTTTTGCGTCGCAATGAAACTTATAATTGCATTTTAAATACTTAAAGTACACAAACTTACTTACACAAAAAAGGTTTAAATTAATTTTGTCATTACGTGCTTTTCAAATTTTAGTATTGTAATAAGAAAATAATAACAAATAAAGTAAATAAATTATAAAAATATATTTAATAAAAATAAAATGCTTGAAATATAACTTAATTCATATGTATATAACTTATTTAAAATATAAATATTAACACATTTATAAAAATATAATATAATCTTAATGTTAATGCTTTTAAGCGAAATAAACATTACGCGCATGTAAGATTGTAGAGATGTGAAGAGATGAATATTTCTGATACACAATTTATGAATGTAGCACGATTATATGAATCAAGTATCGATTTATCATCTGGAATTGAAAAGTAGACGTATTACCCTCAGAAAAGTGGACGTATTATCCTTAGAGCTATGTAGTTTACATCCACTTTGTCACAGGGAACAATAGTGCGCGGCAATATTTTACGATTACAGGTTTTGGGCATGTCCTCTCTCAGATTTGTCTGGTATAAAGCTATAAAGCCAGTTCTACATTAATTGCAAGCCGATCGTTTATTGCGACAATCTGAATCTTGCATTTTGAAATCAACACTTCATATTGGCTGTCGCAATAAACTTGCGATCGGCTTGCAACTAATGTAGCACCGGCTTTAAAGCATGTTAGAGCGACACGAACAAATCTTAGAGTTGCAGTTAATTTGAACGCTTTCAGCGCTTTTCAATGCTTTTATTTCTTATTTTACGTTTGATGAACGATAAAAATAGAATGAGGATTACAAGCGCTTAAAATTAGTCACACACACTTTCCGCAACAGTAAGATTTTCGACCAATCGCGTTGCTCGATTGTTAAGAAGAGTTTCACTTTTGCAGGCAAAAAATTGAAAATTTTTTTTTCTTTATTTTGATTCTTACATGTGTGTAAAAGATTCCTGTAAAAGAATTTTTTTTAATTCACAATATTAACGGAGCTATGAGCTCAAATATAAAGGCGGGGCTTCTAAGCGCTTACCAACGCAAATCGTCGTACATCAGAATCGTCAAGAGAAATCAGAAGAGCGATTGGAGAGATAGTGGAAAGCGAATTACATCAAAAGAAGAAAGGATTATTATGTGGCCCTAGTATTGCAGAATAATCTTGCATTAAAACTTGTTATATGTGGAAAAAGTCAAACTAAAACTTTAAACGTTTTTCTCAAAATCACATTTTTCGACCTAACAGAACTGATAATTAACAAATGAATTAAAATATCGATTTAATTCTTTTTTTCCTCTTGATCGTAATACTTTTATGCACGAATTATAATCATGATTTTACAACATTCGATTTGTTGTTCATAAAAAGTAACAATTATTTTAAGAAAAAAAAATTAATTTTTTTAATGCCACCATTTTTACAAATTTTAAGCAATTGACATTATTTTAGTTCATGCTGTAACGACACTCATATAATTAATAAAAATGAAAAAAAATTTGATTTTAGATGATTTCAGATGATTTGCAATCAATATTACTTCCGTCATAGAGACGTGTTTTGCAGACAACTCCTAATTTGATCGCCATTTGGAGACATTAAAATATTCATCTAATTAAAAAATATTTTTTTTACTATTTAAGCATAACATAATTTTATATAAAATCCCGTATTGTTCTGTATATAATAAATTTTCTTTAAAAAATTTATAAAGCTGAGCTAATTTTACGGCCGGCAAAGGTGAAATCACTTTAAGTCTTCTATATAGAAGTCGTAGACGATCATGGAGTCTACATAGAAGTCATAGGAAATTGACCAATTCTAATTCGAGTATTCTCTTTATATTTGATTGTAATTGGTTAGTTTTTTATGATTTAAGACTCCATGACCGTTTATGACTTAAGACTCCATGACCGTCTATGACTTCTATATTATAGAAATCCCTTTATGCATGGTCTACAATGAGTATGAGTAGTTGATCAAGAAGTAGGCGTAGAAATCGACCAACCATAGTTGATTATTTTTCTCACGTTCAATTATGATTAGTCGAGTTCTACGCCTACTTCTTAATTCACTATTGCTACTGTCCGGTGTAGACCATGCATTACAGTAGTTGATTAAAGAGTAGGCGTAGAAATCAATCATCGAATGTGAGGATAATCAACTAATCATAGTGATTAATCGATTTCTACTCTTTAATCCACTATTGCTACTGCCCATTGTGATAGGCTCAAGAACTTCTTACTTTTTATTGCTTATTATCATTGTAGCGTGGGCTTTACGGTTACTGTTACAGACGACGAATCGAGCAACGTGATTGGTCGAAAATCTACATTACGTTATTGTTACGGAATATTTACGGAAAGTATGTGTGCTTAAAGCGTGAGTGTCTAAATCGACCGCAGCCTAGAAATGTCAACACAGCTGAAATTCCATGTAGTAGTAGTTGTGCTGTTTTGCGATAGACAACACTGAAATATGTACATAAGGATGTAAGTGTTGAGTGAGACAAAATGATATACAATATAATGTAAGAAATGAATCAGTTGTCTATAATCGAATTTGGAATTTAAAAAAGTTTGCACTATCAACCTCGATTAAGTTTAGCTTTCGATTTAGGATTTAGGATTTCCTTAAATGGAGTTATGATTTTTTTTCATAATATGATTCCTCCAATTCTGAATGTAAAGGTTTCTGAATGTAAAATATTAAGATACAGATGTAAAAAAAACAAGTAGTTTACAAGTTAATTACTATTTTATATCAATATACCAAAATAATATATTTTATATTTCCTAAATTATATTGATTTTTTAATATCTCTAATATGTACATATGATTCTATTGAAAACAGAGTAGATGACTTTATAATCTTAAAAAAAGACCTAAAGGAAAATTTTTTGCTCCACACACACACACACACACACACACACACACACACACACACACACACACACACACACACACACGTTTCTTCAAATTAATTTTCTTCTGTGGTGTTTTTTTTGCATTATTAAAAACAACAGAGATATTTCAAATGATCAAGTTATTTGGATGGACAAGGAAATACTTCGTGTAGAAATAAATATGATTCTTCATGAAATAGAGAATAATTTTCGATACATTTTATCAATTTATCCTATCAATTGCAAATATTGTTTTATTGAAAAATACTTCTGTTCAAATTTCAAATATAAATCATGACTGCAAATTCAAATATAATTTGTAAGAATTTGTTGATATGTACAAATCTGATAATTTGAGACAGTAGTGTGAACAGAAATTTTAAATCATTGTAAAACAGATTTATATTTAGCGGAACTTGAATAAAAATCTAGAATAAAATTATATATTGCTCTTATCAATTTTATACTTAAAATTGTTATCATAATGTAATATTAAAATTAAAATATTATCGTATTTTAAATCATTTTATTAAAAATTATTTATTAAAAAACAAAAACTTTTATATTGTATCTTAGATAGATATTGCAAAAATTGCTATTTAACATATAAATAAATTCAATTTTTTTGAAATTTGTACAATAAATAATAATTTGATTATTAAATATCAATTTGCTTTGCCTTAATGATATATATTATCAGTTAGGTCCATTTTTGATTGGATACCCATGAGCTCAATATCTACTCCTTGTAATGTCCAATTATGTTCACAAATTTCCAATGCTTCCCATTCAGACTTGAAAGCTGCTTTTGGATCAGGTGGCATAGACATTGCAGCTCCTGATACTTGATCTTGTACTACTCTTGTAGTATCTGCAGCATTATTTTCACCAAGTACAAGTGTATAAATGGACCTTAGTCCAAATACATTGAGAAAATACCACGAGGCAGAAGAAACCCATGCAGCATCCAGCGTAACTAATTCTATACCACGTTGCAACATTGGCTTGAAACGTAGGGTTAATGGAAATGGTACTTTAGCTGGAATTAAAGCACTTACATTAAATTATGTGTATATGATTTTATAATAATTATATAATAATTAAAAATTTAGTTAAAAGTCCAAATTGAAAAAAAGTCCTATTTGAAAAAATTATACTTAAATATAAGTATTCACATAATATTTCAATGCTACATACTTGTTACAAATCCAGAAAACATCCAATTGATCCAACCACCGATTAGTACCATAGGCAAGACATTAGTCACATTTCCTTTCAGCATTTCAGTCATCATATTTGGATCCGTCATAGGATTTTGGGAGACAGGAGGACGCTTCTGAGTCTTAAAATAACCAGTCTCTTCGTTGTTGAAGAAATGTCTCCTAGTCATAAAACCTACTTTCGGTATATACTGTCCATTCTCCCGGAGCAGCCTTGAGCGTATCATGACTTGACTGCAAAATATTTAATATTGTAACTAATTTTAAGATAATTCTTCAGAATAGCTTACTCACCTTTGATTTCGATGAAAGATGCTCATTTGACACATTTTTGCATAAAATGAAAGAATCTGGCAGAAAAAAGTCTAAGACTGCCCTATGAAATAAAATATTGAGTGTTAAAGTTGACAATTAAAGTTGAGGAAAGTTTAGGAAATATCACAGCCGCGAAATACTGCGTATCTTTTGATGTAAGATGGCTCTCATTTCATATGGAAGATTATAAATCCATGTAGTTTCGCGACACCTTAAAAAATCTAACCTAACTTTAACCAAACCTATTTTTTACTTTCGTGTAGAAAGTTGTTGCATTCAAGAAGCAAAGTTCTACTAGGTTTACAACCTTTCACGAGAAGTGAAGGCCATCTCATACAAAAAAACGGATTGGATTAGAGTTAGATTTTTTTGAAAAAATATTCCAAGTGAACACTGTCTAGGCTGCAACTTCTAGGCGTAGCCGCTCTGCCGAACCAATAAACTACTGTCTATAGTCCTCTATGACAGATCCTAATTTCATCCTAATTTCAATAGTTGTCAACTTTAACGTTCAATATCTCGCTTCGCAGGGCAGTCTTTTTTCCAGACTTTTTTCTGCCAGATTCATTCACGCATCTTTTTACGCAAAAACGCATCGAATGCGCCTAATTTCATCGAAATCGAAGATGAGTAAGTTATTCTGAAGAATTATCAATATTAAGTTTCACGTGTGAAACTTCCAAGTTAGTCAATACATGTTTAAACATTTACCTATCTTGCACTTGATGAAGCTCGATCTTCTTTTGCGAAGCAAGTAATATCGAAACATAGTGACGAATTATACCGACTAGAAATGTAATCACTACTATAGGTAAGAATACCCAACCTCGGATATTTGGATCCAGCAACAATTCTGCCATATCACTTGTTTTTGCCGCGTAAATCTTATATTCGCGAGAATGATAACGAAAAACGGAACGATGTAGAACTATTCACCGTTCTATTTTTTTTTGTGGCTGTTTCCCCAAGAAGAGTCTAGAGTCAGTTTTACCAATTTCAATTATAAAGGAAGCTTTCCTAACAATCGACGCATATTGCCTAGTTTACATCATACACTTGACGGATGCAGTCACTAGTGCTAAAGGTGCAAGCGTCACATGCAAGTATCAAACAGCGAAAGAAGTAAAGGCTTTTTTATGCCGACGCTTGAAGTTCATTTTCGGCGTTAAAATAAGTCATATGATAGAAATTGACGATTAGCACTGACAGTATCGCAGCCAATACAGTGGCAGGATTCTAATCTAGCTAGCAATCGAGCAGGAGAACAAGCATTGTGTTTCGCAGGCTTAAGCGGACAATATTCTTGCATAACATGAGACATAAGAAAATCAACCAGAGTGCTTTATTTCATGGAAAGGAAGAAAAGGAAGCACTTCGATTAGTTCATTTTATGATTATGCATTATGTTATGCGTCTTAAGCGGGGAGCACATACTTTTGCATAATGCATAACATGTAATACATAGGAAAATAAATTAATCAAAGTCCTCTGTTTCCTTCCTTTCCAAGGGAAAAAAGGACTCTGATTGGTTGATTTCCTTATGCCTCATGTTTTATGCGTTATACAAAAGTCTGTGCTCTCCGCTTAAGACTATATCCACACAAATTTCTATAGCCGTATAAACATATCTATAAAGAAAATTATCCAATCATTTCTTCTATAAAGATGCACGTAAAATGTGATTGGATAATTTTCTTTATGCATACGTTTATGCGACTATGCAAGTTGTGTGAATATATCCTAAGACGCTTTATTGCGATGAATTTGTTATACAAAAATTGACACGAACGTTCATGTGCTCGATTGCGTAAGATATTAATGTGTACTATAAAGACAGGGGTTTATATATAGTAGGGTTTACAAAATGGTAGAGGACTTTTCGATTCAGTTTAGTCCGCTCAATCTGCCCATGAAATATTTGGCGATTATTTCCAGACACCCTGTATATTACAAAACTATTATTACGTACACACACACACACACACACACACACACACACACATACAATTAATGGTTCAAAAATGACTAAAAAGATTATATTTTGACTAAAAAATGAGACTAAAAATATTATATTTTGTTAAATAATTATTTATTTCTTAGCAATTACTATAATACATTATATAATAAAATATTTTTACCAATTTTAATTGACTCTCGTTTTTTCTGTCTATTCTATCCCTCACTAATTCGGAATTGGATTTTAAATAATTTAATAACATTTCTTTTTGTTTCACAGTTACGTTCATTATTATTTTTCTTTTTGTTATAAGTTATAGATTATATGGATTGCTCAGTCGTCTATGCAATATCACATATGTAATCGCTATACATGAAAAATTTTACGTGAAATCTCGATGAATGAAAAATGAAAAGTAAAAAATGAAAGATGAAATGTGAAAAGTTTCACGTGAAAATGATTGATCTCCTGATTAGAGGGGAGTGACGCGCTGAAAAGACAGCAACCTCTGGTGACCTCTTCGTTGGAGTTTGAGCATCGCTTTACAGCTCCGGCACGATTCAGCGCGATTCACGTGCGCAACACGATTTTCAATGAGTATACCTTTAGAATGAAAACATCGGTAAAACTGTACATGGAGACATTAGGATCCTCTTTAAACAACATTGGACCACAGTATACAGTAGCGCAATTCTATTCATTATGTAAAGCCAAAATCATAGCGCGCACACGCAAGTTGAGACATTACATATGGTAACGCCATCTGAATTTTTCTCTCACTTATTCTTTGTGTTTTCGGTCTTTCTCTAAATTATTGAAGTGTTTGTGTAGCAATTGGCGATAACGACAGTTCGTATGCTTTTATGTCGGTGATGTTTTGCAAATTGTTTTAGATATTGAAGTAAAAAAAAGTAAAGTGAAGTGAATTATTGTGAAGTGAAGTGCAGTGAAGTGAAATTAAGTGAAAAGAATAAAGAAAGTGACAATTATCCTTCAAGAGAATTGTAGATCTGTCATATATATGATACAGATTTTCAATTCTCTTGCAGAAAACACTTTGATCTTAGCTCTGTTTCAGATATAAAAAGAAAATAAATTGTAAAGGAAATGAGTGGAAACAAAAATTAAATATTGTCCAATAAATGGATATCCTGGAAATTTAGAATTAGAAGGAAGACATACATTTAAATTTCCTAAAGAATATAATGATAGGTATACCATATATTACCAATATTTTCAATTTTTCATTATTATTATTTGTATAAATGCGTGTTTAATATTTTTTTACATTAATAAATTATTTTAACAGATGGTTGCAATGGATACAAGGAAGTGGGAGACTGGATTTAGAAGAAAAAGATCTGAATATTCTTCTAGAAATTATCAATTATGCTCTCTATGTTTTGAAGAGAAATGGTTTAAAATTAATAAAAGAAGAATTCTTCTTCATTAAGATGCCATACCCAAAATTTGGAAAAGATTTGACATTATTTAAAATAAGGTAATTTTATAATTATATTTTGGACTATCAATTTTAGTTTACTTTAGATTACTTATAGATATTTATCTGTTGCATAAGCTTTTATATTCTGTATGTAACATATATATAATTATAATTAAATTTTTATGCGTTGCAAACCAAATATGATATTTATCTATACATTAGCATATTTAAAATCATATATTATTTTGTACATAAACTGCGTAGATTTTATATTTTATAATATTTATAATAAACAATTTCCTAATGTTTTCTTTTTTTTTCTAGACCATAAATTGAGTATAGTTACAGATCTAATAAAAGAAACTTAAAAAATAAAAAAATGCATAGATACATTATAAACTTTTTATCATATTAAAATAAAGTTTACCATTTTAATTATAAATTTGTATTCCCTCTTTATATGCAAATATGCATACACACATGACACACACATATACATATAAATGTATATACATATATAAATTATATATATATATAATCTAATTTTATACTTTTTTATAATCAGATTTCTTTTATAATCAGATTTCAATAGATTAATCAGCGATTTCATTTACGATGAAATTTTAAGGCGTAAGAATCGTCAGGACAATCCACTATGATTTGTTAATTTCTTACGACTTAATTTTTAATGTCTTCAAATCTCATTGTAATATCGCTTTAGAAAGATATTATTTGGACTATAGACAGGGTAGAAGAGCAAGTGCGTATTTAGATATAACGCAAGAATTAGTCAATCAGAATTAAGAGTTCAAAAGAATTCTCGATCGTGATTGGCTTATTCTTACCATAAGACAGTACGTCACGGTATGTGAAGGTATGTGCGACAGTCTAAGAGAGTAAATGAGAGAGAAGTCTAGATGGCATTACCGTATGTAATGTCTCAACTTGCGCATGCGCTACGATTTTGGCTTCACTAACATTAAATGTGCCGACAGAGAGTTGCGCTACTATATACTGTGACTGGGCACTGCTGGACTGCGCGCCGGGAGAGAAATCCCTACCCTATTCCTGTCGATTCTGTTTCCCCGCGCCTGAATCACCTATCACGAGCGGCGCATGCTGACTTGCGCATAGTGTCAGTCTCTCTAGCCCAACGTTACGAGGTGAACCGTCACTACCACCGCCGCCGTGCGAGAGCGAGCGCTCGTCGTCTGATTGTCAATTACGTTCCATTGAAGCGCCATTGGCTAATACGCTGTGCGTGCGCGATACATACGTATATACGTATATACATATACGCACTGCGGACAGAATCTCGGCGATCCACGACGTGTGACTTCAGCACGCATTTTTTTGTGCGCGGCATTGCGATGATCGAGTAAACGGGCGAAGCAGTACACGAGGATTCTTTCAGATATTCCGCGGCGATGCATGCACGGACCATGGAAGACCTGTGAGAGCGGCATCGCGGAAGCCGGGGGTATCCCGGATAAGGGGTGGTTGACGCGCCATACGAGAGGGGTGAGGGCGACGTGGACGCAGGAAGCGCGTGTTAGGTGGGGTAGTGGTGGAAGGGGGCTTGGATACTACTATCGGCCCATCGAGAAGAGTGAAAGGTGAGCGTTGGCGACGATTCTCGCCGACGTGCACATCCACACAGCTATTCGTCTGTCCACGGCGTCTATCTGACCGCCATGTTATTCTGGAGCGGCGATGTTACGTCGTTGGCGTCGCTGCTTTTGTGCCTCCTCGTGCTCGGCACAGCCGGCGTCGATGAGTCCGGTGAGTAAAGGAAAAGGGAAGGAAGAAAAGTGCAATGAGGCGCGCCGGGACGGCGAGTACAGATGCTCCTTTTTAGGGTATGTTCGAATTCTCACCCAAGTGCTCCTTAGAAAACTTCTAGATAGAAAACTCCGCTGAAAGTTTTCCTATGAGATGATTGAAATGGCTTTGGTCGAAGCTTTTTGAATATCCTACATAATAAGGTTGAACTACTCTCTCTTTAGCTTCATTTTAATTTCGGAACAAAAAATAGTCATCCTTTAATGTTTGGTAAATAACAAGGAGTGATACTTGAGTGGCATTCGAGTGAGAATCTGAACATAGCCTTAGTTGCACTTTTGATGCTCTGTTCACATCGAGAATGAAAATATGCGAGAGAGAACTAGAGAAGCGTGGGGAAATATTGTAGGATAGGAAACTCGCCTCGATTTCTTTTCTACGAAAAACGCAACGCTAAGCAAAAACATCAGTTGCAACGATTGTGATAGTCTCTCTCTCTCTCTCTCTCTCTCTCTCCCTCTCCCTCCCCCCCTCTCCCTCTGTAAAAGAAGGTGGAATAAGAAATGATTATGTTCAAAGTTAAATTTCGATGATGAATGTGTCTTTCACAGAGAGGTCTTTGTTGGGAATATTTTTATAATAAAATATCGTACCAGGAAATACAGTAGTGTCAAATCAATCGATTAGACTAATTCCCGAGATTGGGCCATCCATGTATCTGTTATACGCGAGCACTCGATTATTGGATGTTGTCAATAATCGATCAAGTTATAAGTAGGCTCAATCGAGCACACAATTTGGATTTACATAAGAAAAGTGTTTTTATTTTTTCTCTGCTCGCATATTATTTGAAGAGACATGAGATTCAAGAGCCGAGAAAGAGCACGTGGAAAATCGCATGTCGTGCGATCGATTGAATGCTGGAGCATGTCTGGCAGTAATACATTTTATGAATCCGGCATTTTTTCCGTATAAAATGCGACATTTAGGCATTTTATAAGGCATCTTTTTCTATCTTTCAATTATCGAAGATATTAAACATATCATATAACATTTTATATATTATTCTTGTTCATTTTTGCTATTTTATTTTTACCTTTTTATTTATTATTTTTTAATTTGAAATTTATTCCCACCTATAAAAATTTGAAAGGTTTGCATTGATTTTCGATTCAGTTACTTGTACTACACTAGATTAATACATATTAAAAGTTATTATACATGAAAATAGCAAAATTAAATGTAAAAATAATATGTTTTAAAGTT